TAGTAAATCTCCACACAGACTTAAACTGACAGGAGGAAGAGATGGCACAGGAGCAAGGAGAGAGTCAGCTCCTGACCCACACTCACATCAACCTTAGCCAGCTTCAGCAGGACCCCAAGGAAGCCACCCCCCTGCACACAAAAAAATTAACAGTTGGGTAGCTACAAATATAAAATGTATGTATGTTTGTATGTATGTATCTGTTCGTTTGTGTGTACCTGTGTGTATCTGTGTCATTGCATGTATCTGTCAGTGCATATATCTGAGCGTGTATGTATGTGTCATTGTGTGTTTCGCTGTGTGTATCTGTGTCATTGCATGTATCTGTCAGTGCATATATCTGAGCGTGTATGTATGTGTCATTGTGTGTTTCGCTGTGTGTGTGTGTGTGTGTATATGTGTATCTGTGTTTCAAGATGTTTGTATGTGTCAGTGAATGAATCTGTGTGTCAATGTGTGTGTACGTGTATGTGTCCGTGTGTTTATTTGTGTGTTATGGTATGTGCATTTAAGTTTGTGTGTTTGTTTCAGTGTATGTATTTGTTTGTTAGGGTGTGTGTATATGTCAGAGTGTGTTTGTATGTGTGTGTTTCGGTATGTGCATGTGTTTGTTCATGTGTCAGTGTGTATCTGTGTGTGTGTGTATATTACAGTCTAATAGAGTCAAACAAAATATTACATACAAACACAATCCTTCATTCAAATTATAAAATTAGATATATACACACACCACTTAATCGAAACACTGATACTGCATACAAATGTACACATTTTAAAGCCAACATTACATACAAACACACCCCTTTATTAAAACGCTAAAAATATATACAAACACCCCTTTATTCAAACACCAACAATACACAAAAAAGCACACATGCAATCAACAGCAAAATGTCAACAGTACGTACAAATATACCCTAACATGCATGTACATACTCTATACAAAAACATGCTTACATTAAAACGTGCAAACACTGCTCGCTATATTTTCAGAAGGATGTGGCTATATTTATGAAAGTGTCGTCATCATTTTTATGCCAAATTTTAAGCAAATGTTTAGAGCACTTTATTAACCTGTCATGTTTTACATGTTATTTTTTGCTATTTTTATATGTACACCATTTTTTCAGCAATGCAATACATGTTCCACCACTTTTTCAAGCAGAAAAGTGTTCTATTTAATTTTTCTATTTTTCTACCACTCTAAGTTTGGCGGTCTTTTGAAATGAAAATTTCTGTGAAAACTGGAGAAATTTACTATGAAGAAAATTATTTTTTTAGATCACTTTTAGAACACCACTAATAAACACTGACAATATTTGTCACATTTCAGAACACTTTAATAAATTTGCTGAAACGTTGTAAATACTTACCATCCACCTCCTGAAGCTCAGTGGGATGAGTTATAGCATGAGTTATAGCATCCACCATTTCCAACCACAGCTTTACACCAAGATAGGGCAGCCTTTGGCATGAATACAAAGTGACCCCATAGCATGAATAAGGAGTCACAAACTGTCATGAGACCTGTTATAAAATAGTAATTATGCTTTGAATTACTCAGAATAATCTCCTGGATAATTAAAAATATTATCCATTTAACTACCAACACCATGCACACAGGAGTAAAAAGTATGCATTCACACTGTGTATGTGTAATTGACACTCTAGCTGTTGGAGTGTAATGAACACAGAGAGATACCTAATTAACCCCTTAAGGACCGGACTGTTTTTGTGATGTTGTACATTTGCGACCAGGCATCTTTTTACACTTTTGGGGTGTTTGTGTTTAGCTGTAATTTTCCTCTCTCTCATTTACTGTTCCCATACAAATGATATATTGTTTTTTTCAGGAGAAAAGGGGCTTTCTTTACATACCATTATTTATATAATCTCATGTAATTTAATTTAAAAAAAAAATATGATGAAAAATTAAAAATATTATTATTTTTTTTACTTTTACTTGAAAAATCTTTTACTCGTCTACAAAAGCGAATGAAAAAACTGCTAAATAGATTCAAAATTTTGCCCTGAGTTTAAAAATACCCAGTGTTTACGTGCTTTTTTGCTTTTTTTGCAAGTTATAGGGCTATAGGTACAAGTAGGATATTGCAGTTTCAAAACATACATTTTTAAAATTTATCAATAGTGACATTGTAACACTATTATCTGTCATAAATCTCTGAATAACACCCCACATGTACATATTTTTTTTTAAAGTAGACAACCCAGGGTATTCAATATGGGGTATGTCCAAAGTTAGCATTCATATTTGTTTGTGTGTGAAAAAAGTAAAAAACTAAATTGAACGCTAATTTTGGCCAGTGTTTGTGACTAAGTGGTTACTAAAAAAGAATGGACATACCCGATTTGCAATACCTTGGGTTGTCTTCTTTTGCAAATAGTATGCCATCATGGGGGTAATTCTCATTCCTGGGCTACCATACGCTCTCAAAGGCAACGTAACCAACCTGGCCATTTTCAATATAAAAATATCTGACCCATATATTTGACCCTGTAACTTTTAAAAACGCTATAAAACGTGTACATGGGGGGTACTGTTATACTCAGGAGACTTTGCTGAACACAAATATTAGTGTTTCAAAACAGGAAAACATATCACAACAATATCCTCAGTTAAAATGCTGTTTGTGTGTGAAAAATGCAAAAAAAGTCACTTTCACTGACAATATCATCGCTGTGATATGTTTTACTGTTTTTAATCACTAATATTTGTGTTCAGTGAAGTCTCCCGAGTAAAACAGTACCCCCATGTACAGGTTTTACGGTGTCCTAGAACGTTACAGGGTAAAATACAGTGCTAGCAAATTAAATTCTCTGGACTTTCGGTCTGGCTTGGCAGGCAGGTCCCTCAAATTGCAATCAATAAAATTACTTAATTATGTAAAAATATTACATAAATATGCATGTAGAATTGAAATATATATGCATATTTATATATTTGAAGTCTACGTGTATAATTATTTATGTAATTTTGTATATGGACATATGTATATTTCGTATTATTTTTATTTATTTATATATACATAGATATATATACAATTTCATTCTAAGTGTATTTTGATATAAATATATATATATATTACTATCAAAATACAGTTAGAATAACATTTTATATAGATATATAATTTTTTTTTATTTTTTTATTTTAAGTTACTTATTTGTATTTTATAATAATATATACAATACATATAGTTATTATATATATTATATACATGTGTAATTTAATTATAAGTGTATTTTTATATTACTATATGTACATAGTATTATAAAAATACACTTAGTATGACATTATATTGATATATAGACATATATTATATAAATATAATATATGTCTATATATCAATATAATTTATCATGTATATAATATATATATATATATAATATGTATATAATATATCATATTTATATACACACATATATATATATATATATATATATATATATATATATTTTTTTTTTTTTAATTAACATTAACTTTTATTTATTTTTTATTTTACACTAGCTGTGAGACTGCCTATGCTGACAGGCAGTCTCCCTGGTATTGTAAAATAAAAAAATAAATAAAAGTTAATGTTAATTTAAAAAAAATAAAATATATATATATATATATATATGTGTGTGTGTGTGTGCAGGCAGACACATGGACACCTATTGTGACCATGTGATCGCTCTGTTGAGTGATCACATGGCCCCAGGGGTCCTAATCTGCCACGGAGAGACTGTCTGGGCTCCAGGCAGTCTCCCCACACCAGGAGCAATGCCAATCGCAGCCGGGGGAACGATGGCGATCGGGTAAGTACATCTGACCATTAGGACGGTTCAGGACCATCTGGGGTCCTGAACCGTCCTTGGTCCTTAAGAGGTTAAGGCCTGACTTTAATATTTTCGCACATGTTTTTAAAATTATTTATTTTTGCAGACCAGTAAAAAATGTTTTAAAAAAATATCAAAATATCAAAAATTACCACATATAAAAAGTATTAATGTTTCAATAAATATTACATTTTTTTTATAATATTAAATCATTTTAAATGTTTATCAAAATATATTAACTTGTTTGAAAAACTAATCCAAAAATATTAAAATGAGGTCTATGGTAAAATTATATATGAATTAATGGAACAACACAAGCAGACAGTTTGACAACATATAGGGAAATATATATTGCCCTAATATAACAATAAGGGGAATGTTGCAATATGGAGAAATTAACTGCTGTACAATATGTTATATTGCACATTTTATTTCTGTCATTCTATCTTAATTTATTATTTTTATTAAAAGAGGCATTTGACATGTGATAAAAAAAAGACGTTTCCATATTACGTTCTAGAGCAAATTTTTTTTTTTTTTATACTTTTTTTATTTTAAATCTCTTGTAAGGGGGTTAATGTTTATACATTTCTTGTTAATGTTAACATTTGCTCTGTGTAATATATATATATATATATATATATACATAAAAAAAATAATACATAACCGGTGCACTTAAACTGCTCCTTTATCTCTCTCCTAGAACCACATATATGCACACAAACTGTTTCATTCGGATTAGATTTGGTAGGATTAGTAGATTAGAAAAATATAAATATTTCTTTAATTCCCACAGAAATCACTGAGTTTTTTGAAGCTGTCTCTGTTCTGTTTGCATCCTGTTTCCATCTTTTCCCTTCACTCATTATCTTATTCGACTAATCCAATTTATCTTTGATTTTAAATATTATCCCTAAAATATTATTCCTATGTACAGCATTGCAACACTTTTCTCTACCATTAAAAATCCCTAGTCTCTCATACAACATCCATAATTATTTGCTCCAGCCTCTCTTCCCAATGCTGAGCATATCATTTCTAATCACTCTTTAATACTCGTGTTTATACTTTTTCTTACTTCTTCTATACCTCATTCTTATATTTACACTATTTCTTACACAAGCTTCACAACAGCTGGACTTTTAAATGAAACATTTAAAGAAGAATTACTCACCGCTATCACAGTTTTCTAACATTATTGTCTCTCTTCTTAACTCATTCTCCCTTCTCAAACCTTGCATTGCCATCCTCTCACTCTCTGTCTCTCTCATCTCCCTCTCTCAGTGAAATCTTTAATCCCTGTCAGTTAGGTTTATCTCCCCCCATAACTCACTAGAGCAGAAATACGCAGCCTGTTATTATTTTATCCACATACATATCATAATCTACTGATATCACACATAGAAACACATTTCCGTAAGTTCTTACAATACATACTCTTTATATACACACATCTATGGCTTGACAGTCGTTGAGATGTAACAGTGAAACAGATAAAGCAAAGAATGAGACCAACGAAACAGGAGATGGGAAACTGCACTAAAACTCAACGGAAGAAAATCGCCAAGGTATGAGAAATAGCCTTTGGTATACATTGTGGGGTTTATTCACTAAGCGGGGAAATGTGGAGAATAGACGACGGAAATTTCAAATTGTAGGCCGAGATAAAAAGCGGGAACAGAACAGAATAAATACATTCTTGATTTATTTATTTTTTTTCAATTAAGATATTTTGGTCTAGCATTTGCGGTTACCTTGACATCTCTCCACAGTTCTCAATTTAGCAAATAAACTCCTTTTTGCACTGAAAGACAGATTGGCGTGATATGATATTCATTATGTATATGTGAGATGGGAACAGAAAAAGAGAGCAAAACAGAAACTTATAGAAGGTCAAATGATACAACAATTACAGGAAACAAAATATACACATCTGTTTTTTTTAAAGTTAGCATGCTTGAAATATGGTAATGCGTGCAGGTGTTATTGACTGAGGTATTACAGGTTTTAAAACCAACCATTAAAACATGCATATGCAGAATTTTATTTATTTTTTTCAAAGAAAGCTGGGGATTTTTTTTTTAAATTGGACAGATGTGTGAAACCGAGTTTTAAAGCCTAGTGGGATAAATTGTATGGTTAAAAGGATTCTTTAGCTTGTTGGAATGCTCTATCTGTACAGAGAGTCATATTTATTTATAAAAAAAAACAAAAAAACTTTTTTTTCTTTTTTTTTTACAAAAAGCAAATATTTTAATAGAAATTGGAAGTTTTAAAATTAACTTTTTACACCCCTGCCCACAAGCAGACTGCATGTCCTGTTGCTTACTGATTTCTTTAACTCAGTGGACAGGGAATTGCCCAGAGCACATGTGTTGCAAAAACGTATCACTGAACTGCATTTGGAAGTATGTGATTGGACAGCTATAAAAAGTCTGTGATGGGGAGGGCTCCAAAGGCAAGAGAACTGCAGCTTTTGCAAGCTGTTTTTAGATATACTCCCAATGCAAAATGCATTATAAATGTATACACGTTTGTATTTTGGGTATATCTGATTTATTTATTTTTTTAATCTGGTTAGTGGCTTGTCTTTTTAGGAAAACACGTGAAAAGAAGGAGATTAAACCTTCTTCAAGCACTGAGAAAACAGGAGTTGAAGAAAACCTTAAAAAAACCCAAGCTCAATGAATAAACAAAATAAAAACAATTTAGATACATTTCTAATCCTTATTTGCATTGCTGTTATGCAATTTAGGGAATAGAAATGTTATATACAAAGGCAAAGACTTTAAAGATCAGTTATCTTATTCCCACACATCACTGCAAGGAAACTTACAATTTGCTCACTGTTTTATTTTAATTGTTTTGGTTGGGTAGTGGGTTGTGTTCCCAATCCAACTACATTGTAATTAGGAATATTATTTTAATGTAAAATTTTAATGGATTGAACATTGGTAACTCCAGGCCCAGACTGGTCATCAGGGACACTGGGCCCAGTTGGTCTGGCTAATATAATATTTGCAGTATCTCTGTCCCTTCTGCAAAGCTGTCTGAATTTCGGCTAACTGCTTAGGTCATTCCTGCACCAGCTCTCTCTTGCATTTGTTCAGCAAGTATTATTTATATAACTGTACATTTGACCATTAATGTTTTTTTACTGAAAGTGTATGACGACAGCTAACCAATAAAGTGTGCAGCTCTGCAGGTAAAAATACAGGGATATTTTGGTCCCACTCTGGTCCAGTGATAAACTGTTTTTTATTTTATCTTCACAATGAATGTAATATAATAGGAAGATAAATTATATTGTCATTCCATCTGCATTATCTATATTATGAAAGAGAGGGAAGTAATCGGACAGGCGATTTTGTTTCATCCACTACAATTTGACATAGTAAGTCTCTCCTCTCTCTCCCATCAGGATGGGAAGTCTTCCCCTGTGCACTTCGTACCTCTATCACCCTCTGACCTAGGGGCAGAAATTGTGGAGAACTGGCCGCGGCCATTGCAGAGCTTTGCAGCGCTGCAGAGTCTTGCGGGGACTGCATGCATCTTCCTGCGCCACAGCATCGCTATCACTCAGATCGTATGTATGAGTAATAAGGCAGGAAAAAAAGGTTAAAAACAGAAGAAAACTTGAATATAATGAAATCTGGGTTGTAGAAATAACATAGCAATATAATGCAACAAAGATGCATTGTTAGATTAGAAATGTCAGATTCACAAATTTTGGAACATGCTATGTACTGCTTTCATACTCCTTGTTTTTAATTACTTCAGCAGTAATAAATGCATATTATGGGCATTGTGACAAAAGTGGATAACTGTATAAACTATTAAGATTCCAGACTCCACGGCTAATAATGTGAAGTAGCAAATGTAAAAGCAAATTATATATCATTAAAAAGGTATTGATACAAGAGTGAACAATGTGTGGCAAAATATCTTCATCCATATATGCAGTAAACTGTGGGTTCCTATTTATAGGTGGAATATATATTACATATTTACACAGTTGAAAGAGATATGTGTCCATCAAGTTCACCCTTTTTCACATCTGTTTTTGCTGTTGATCCAAAAGAAAGCAAAAAACCCAGTGTGAAGTGCTTCCAATATTGCACCAAACTAGGGAAAAAAATCCTTCTTGAACCAGAATGGTAGTCAGACATCTCCTTGAATCAAGATGCTATTACCACACTAATTAAAAATGATATCGCCTGAATATTAGATAATATTTATTATATAATAAATAATATAAGGAAAGGCACCAAAATTAAAAGGAATTATTTAGTGTTCTAACAAGTTTATATTCCTAACACTATAGTGCCCTCTGGTAAGCCTCACTCACGGCACCCCCCGGCATGTAACAGACTAAAAAGCCCTTTAGTCACTTACCCAATTCCAGTGCCGATGTCTCTCTGCGCTGGGTTGCCGCTCTGCCTCTTCCAACGGTAGAACACAACTCGTTCCAGCACCAGAATAGTATTAGGCCCTCCCCATAGGAAAGCATTGCCTCAATGCTTTCCTATATGGATTTCACTGATGCTGGATGAACTCATGCTGAGTTTGAGAATGTCCTGCATCATTTAGGCGAGTCTGTTAGCATCCAGGAAGTGCCTCTAGTGGCTGCCTAATTGACCACCACTGTGAGTCTTAGTCCTGCAAGGTAATCATTGGAGTTACTCTAAAACTGCAATGATTTACATTGCTGGACTAAGTTGAACTGGGACAATGAACCCAGACCCCCTCAATGAGTTAAAGTGTCTGGGTGACTATAATGTTCTTTTAAGAAACCGTGGAAACTGGATAACCAGCTAGCATAACCAACATCTTACAAAAGTTTTTTGTTTTTTCATGGTAAAGATTGCCTCCATAGGCAATTTATCTAATAAATAGAAGCCTCCCAACTGTCCAGATTTTGGTGGGACTTTCCTGTTCCAACGTTTGGAACCCTCCTGTTTCTTAACTTTCTAGTGCAGGACAGTATCTGGGGATGTTGGGAGTCGGTCTGGCAGCTGCCTTTCCCCTCCTCAAGCCTCTGCTCTGCCTCCTCCAGTGCGGAGTAAGCTGGGAGGAAATGACCATCTGTCACATACTCCCAGCATTGGCTGTGGTTGACATCATTAAAGGGACCCGGTCACACTATTAAATGGCAGCAATAATGACTAGGCCCATGAAGACATATATGCATCGGCTGTAGTTCTTGTAACTCAGTCATAAAAGGTCAATTCTTTTCACATTCTCCACAATTTTGCATTAGGAAGTTTTACACGTTTTACAACATCTTTTGTTGTAAACATAGACTGTGATGGCAGACAGTGGCGTACACATGACCCATGGGTCCCCGGTGCAAAAATTGATCCGTGGTCCCCCACCCCCCCACCCCCGCTCACTCCACGCCGTGGCCGTAACACATGGCGGCGGGCACCTGGTCGCAGGGGTTGCAGGGCTGCGACCCCTGCGACCATGGTATGTACGCCAGTGCACACACACTTAAAGGACCACTACAGACACCCAGATCACATCAGCTCAATGAAGTGGTCTGGGTGCCAGGTCCCTCTAGGTTTAACCCTGCAGCTGAAAACATAACAGTTTCAGAGAAACTGCTATGTTTCACTGAGGGTTAATCCAGCCTCTAGTGGCTGTTAATCCAGCCTCTAGAGGAGCTTCTGCGATTCTAAGACACTGAACGTCCATAGGAAAGCATTGAGTAATGCTTTCCTATGGGCGGTTTGAATGCGCGCGCATTCGCATTCGAGCTGAGAGGCGGAGGGATCCCCAGTGCCAAGGGAGTCCGGCGCTGGAGAAAGGCAAGTGCTGAAGACACACACACACTCTCACAAACAGACGCATACACACTAGCTAACAGTCACACACATTTACTGACCGAGACACACTCAGAGACAGACATACATATACACTCTCACTGACAAACACACACTCACTAACAGACATGAAACAGACACACACAAACACACTCACTGACACTCACTAGCAGACACACACTCAATAACAGACATACTTACTGACACTCACTAGCAGACACACACACACTAACACACACACACTAACACTCACACACACGTTTTTTTTTTTTATTATTTAATCCCCCAGCCTCCTTACCTTTTGGAGTGCTGAGGGGATTCCCTGGGGTCCAGTGGTGCTGCTGGGTGGCCAGTCACCAGGCTGGCAGGCAGGTGGCGCGTGAGGGAGCACTCTCCCCTGAGTGCTTCCTGTTCAGCTCCCTCGTGTGCCGCATACCAATGCCGGAGTCGGAAGATGACGTCAGTGCGGTGCGCGAGGGAGCTGAAGAGGGAGCACACGCACTCAACGACCAAGTACCACTGCCTGTGTTTGGGAGACAAAATTGCAGAAACACATGTATTTGGTTATACGAACAGCGGCCACCCAGGGAAAGCACTCAAGTACTCCCTAATTGCGATTAACAGCCAGGGGTGGTCCAAGATGCCCAAAATGCATTATCTTGCACTGTGCATTGTACATCTTTTAAAATGCTTGTGTACTTTTACCTATGTTGGGGAGACCAGTAACAAATAGTGATGTCGCGAGCACGAAATTTTCGGTTGGCGAATGGCGAACGCGAACTTCCGCAAATGTTCGCGAACCGGCGAACCGGGCGAACCGCCATTGACTTCAATGGGCAGGTGAATTTTAAAACACACAGGGACTCTTTCTGGCCACAATAGTGATGGAAAAGTTGTTTCAAGGGGACTAACACCTGGACTGTGGCATGCCGGAGGGGGATCCATGGCAAAACTCCCATGGAAAATTACACAGTTAATACAGAGTCTGGTTTTAATCCATAAAGGGCAGAAATCACCTAACATTCCTAAATCACAATCAATATGGATTGACACCTGACATATGACATATTGACACCTTGACATATGGATTGACACCTGTCCTCAGAGCCCCTGATGCACACGGACACAGAGCAGAATAGAGACTGGTCCCCCTACATAGGGTCACTTGGCAGATATGGATTGACACCTGTCCTAAGGATCCATGATACACACTGACACAGAGCAGAATAGGGACTGTTCCCCCTACATAGGGTCACTTGGCAGATATGGATTGACACTGTCCACAAGGACAAGCTGCAGGCTTCCTGGCAGGGCCCATACAAGGTGGTAGAGCAGGTTTGTGATACCACCTTTGTGATCGGTACGGTCACAGGCACGGGAGGCAAGCGCATGCTCCATGTGAACAACCTCAGGCGCCTATCCTATGCCCCGGATAGACGAGCTCCTAGACAAAATGGCCAGAGGCCAGTACCTCACCACAATAGATCTGTGCAAGGGGTACTGGCAAATTCCATTAACCGAGGACGCCATCCACAAGTCGGCATTTGTCACCTTGTTTGGCCTGTATCAGTTTAAGGCCATGCCATTCGGGATGAAGAATGCCCCGGCTAACTTTCAGAGGATGGTAGATCGGCTACTGGATGGGTTTCAGGAGTATGCCTGTGCCTACTTGGATGATATAGCCATTTTTAGCTGCTCCTGCCCGAACACCTGACCCACTTAGGAGCCGTACTAGACTGGATTAGGGAGGCCGGACTGACCCTAAAGCCCAGTAAGTGCCATATAGGAACGTGTAAAAACTTCCCAAAGATAGTAGTATGGGCCCCAGAGTGTGAACAGGCCTTCTAACAGCTCAAGACGGCGCTCATTAAATCATCTGTACTTTCTGCTCTTGATCCAACTAAACGCTTTCTCGTCCATACAGACGCTTCTATGTTTGGTTTGGGAGCAGTACTGAGCCAAGTCGGAGCAGATGGCAGCGAGCAACCCGGGGCTTATCTAAGCCAGAAACTTTTGCCCAGGGAAGTAGATACACTGCCATTGAAAAGGAGTCCCTGGCAGTGGTGTGGGCCCTCAAAAAGCTGCAACCTTACTTGTATGGACAACCGTTTACCTTACTCACAGATCACAACAAATTTAGGGCACTGCGCGTGCAATCTAATGTGCCACCAGATAGGAGTGGTGTGTTAAGTAGTACTATTCTTATCAGTTTAATCCCTGTTACGTCCCCTATCCGTTGATGTGGAGCAAGGCGCAGCAGCAGAAGAGGACTCAGCTGAGGAGGTTATGGAAGAGGATGGAGTAGGAGGAGTAGAGGAGGTGGCAGCAGGCCTGCCTGCAAGTCGTGGCGGTGTCACCAACTCCTCTGCAGAGCCACGCATTCCATGCTTGGCAGCCGTCAGCAGGTTTGCCCAATGCACAGTGTAGGTGATATACCTGCCCTGACCATGCTTTACAGACCAGGTGTAGGGCTGACACACCCGCTTGAAGATAACTAACTGCTATTCAATCTATAACAGTGAAAAAAGTTTTTTGTTTTTAAATGCAAGCTATTATGACACCAGATATGAGTGGCACTGTAAACTGGCAGAGCACACGCTGAAGGAGGCCTGACACCCGCTTTAAGGACACTGACTGCTATTCAATCTATAACAGTGAAAAAAGTTTTTTGTTTTTAAATGCAAGCTATTATGACACCAGATATGAGTGGCACTGTAAACTGGCAGAGTACACGCTGTAGGGCTGATAACTAACTGCTTGAA